AAAAATTTTCCCAAACCCAGGGAGCTTATTTTTAGAGAAGAGGGAAAATAACAGGTCGAGCAAGCATTCCCAAAGTATTACGGCACACTTGATAGTTGAGGAAAAACTCTGACTCCTTTTAAAAGCAAGCAGAAAGTCACACACCAAGAAGTGACTGAGATTACAGGACAGCAGAATAAGTTAGAGGAAAGTTGAATGAGATCAAAAAGGATTGCAGGAAAACTAAAATTCAGGAATGCATTAAAATCCATTTTGGAGGATGACCTTTAAAGACATTTGCCTGGAATGCAACAAAAAAGAACGGAGTAACAGATGAAGAGGATCATCGCGGGCAGAGAACATAAAGCTGGGTCAGAGACACAGTGGAAATATCCGCTCTCCCTTTTCTTTTCTTGACATTATTTTGGTTTTGTTAGAGGTGAGGCTAGTGTTAGAGAGGCCACATTTTGACGATGATGAAAAAGCGGAGGGAATTGGGGGTTTAGGCTCCAACATCCTTAATCCAGTGAACCACGATCCGCAACCGCCCATCCCTAGACATTTCATTATGTGAGCAAAATAAACACCTATTTTAAGCCACTGGTGTCTGAGTTTTCTGAAACATGAATTTCAGAAAACTTATGTTCCTTGAAATCCCTAACTGATATGCTAACATGCATATAATCCATGTTTCTCAGGCCGAGATCAGATCAAAAAGGATTAGACCTAATAATTGAAACTACAAGAGAATAAAATTATCCTGAGATAAAGAAATACGAAGATCAAAGAGCTTACTGTCTCCTGAATGAAATTAGTGAAAAGATCTGCATTTAAAGAAGATTCATTGAGGGGGTCGGATTACTTGAGGACAGGAGTCTGAGACCAGCCTGGCCAACAGGGTGAAACCCCATCTCTACTAAAAATACAAAAAATAGACAGGTGTGGTTGTGTGTGCCTATAATCCCAGCTACTAGGGAGGCTGAGGCAGGAGAATTGCTTGAACCCAGGAGGTAGAGGTTGCAGTGAGCTGAGATTGCACCACTGCACCCCAGCCTAGGAGACAGAGTGACTCTGTTTCAGACAAACAAAAATATGCACTTATTTTTTTAAACATGGAAATGTTTAAGATAGAAATATGGAAAGATTCCCAAGATACATACTGTCACATGAGAAGAAGCATGCAAACAGTGTATACACCATCCTACTATAAGAGTTAAAATCAAGCCGGGCACGGTGGCTCAAGCCTGTAATCCCAGCACTTTGGGAGGCCAAGGAGGGTGGATCATGAGGTCAGGAGTTCGAGACAGCCTGGCAAATATGATGAAATCCCAACTCTGCTAAAAATACAAAAAATTAGCTGGTCATGGTGGCGTGCGCCTGTGGTCCCAGCTGCTCGGGAGGCTGAGGCAAGAGAATTGCTTGAACCCGGGAGGTGGAGGTTGCAGTGATCCAAGATCATGCCACTGCACTCCAGCCTGGGCGACAGATCAAGACTCCATCTCAAGAAAACCCCAAAAAACAAAAAAAAAAACTCCTGCCCTCATGAACTGCCCACCTCAGCCTCCCAAAGTGCTGGGATTATAGGTGTGAGCCACCAAGCCTGACCTCCTGCCTTCTTTTAAATAATTTTATACTGCATACCATATTCAGTCTTTGGTAGTAGATGAATTCTTACTTTGTTGTTGCATTCCCTGGAGAGCATAGTTCCTTAGAGACATTAAGAAAGATTTTTCCAGGAAGGTCTTCTGGGAAGGGGCCTCCTCCAAGAAGGGAGTGAGGAAGGAGGTAGGTTGAGTCAATGTACTTTTCCTCTATCTGATCAGAGTTCCTGAAAGTATTCTTCTGAACTTGCGTGGGGTTCGCTGCGGGGTGGGGGAAAAGAGGGAAGGTTCTGACACATACAAGAAAACTCTGCTCTACCCCCTCCTCAAAAAAAAGAAAACTGTCCTTTGTGGGGTGGCGGGGGAGGGTGTTGCTTCCAAAAGGACCCAACAAAGACTTGTAGGGAACATTTACATTTATCTGTGTGTGGCCAGGCATGGTGGCTCATGCCTGTAATCCCAGCACTTTGGGAAGCCGAGGCAGGTGGATCACCTGAGGTCAAGAGTTTGAGATAAGCCTGACCAACATAGTGAAGCCCCATCTCTACTAAAAATACAAAATTAGCCCGGTGTGGTGGCACATGCCTGTAATCCCAGCTACTTGAGAGGCTGAGGCAGAAGAATCTCTTGAACCCGAGAGGGGGAGGCTGCAGTGAGCTGAGATTTCGCCATTGCACTCCAGCCTGGATGACAAGAGGGAAACTCTGTCTAAATAAATAAATAAGTAGAGTATATATAAATAAATAAAACATGTACTGTGTAAACTAGCCCTTGAGAGACTGCAGCCTCAGGCAGTTTTCAGCCCAGTCCACACAATGAAATTACCTAAGGGGCTTGAAAAAAAAAAAAAAAAGAGCTGGGCATGGTAGCCTGTAATCCCAGCACTTTGGGAGGCTGAGACAGGTGAATCACGAGGTCAAGAGTTCAAGACCAGCCTGGCCAACATGGTGAAACCCCGTTTCTAATAAAAATACAAAAAATTAGCTGGGTGTGGTGGCATGAACCTATAATCCCAAGTACTCGGGAAGCTGAGGCAGGAAAATCGTTTGAACCTGGGAGGTAGAGGTTGCAGTGAGCCGAGATCTTGCCACTGAACTCCAGTGTAGGCAACAGGGTAAGACTCCATCTCAAAACAACAACATGGAAGCCTGGCTCCCACTCCAGAGGTTCTGAGGGAAGTGACCTGCAGTGCAGTTTTTAACCATCTACACGTGTTCCTAATGTAGTGCCAAGGTTGGGTGATAAAGAGGTGGCATTGAGAGCTTACTCTGTGCCAAGCTCCATTCTACAAGTTTTACTTCATAATAACCTGTGAGATAGATCTACTGTTATCCTCGATAGAGGGCCATTGAGGCACACAGAGGTGAAGTGCTGGCCAAGGACACCCAGTTCATAAGGGGTATTCTCTCCACTTGAACTCTGGTACCCATGCCCCTTACCACAATGCTGTGCCATCAAGGGTTCATGCCAGGCCCTGCCATGATCCTGCCCCAAGTTCCCCAGAGGAAGAGAAATGAGTCAAAACCTAAAAGGCAGGAGCAGCCGGCCATGGTGGCTCACACCTGTAACCCCAGCACTGTGAGAGGCCAAGGCAGGAATATCACTTGAGCTGAGGAGTTCAAGATCAGCCTGGGCAACATAGCAGGACTCTTATCTCTATTTAAAAATATATATATATTGCCGCAGCTACTAGGGAGGCTGAGGTGAAAGGATCCCTTGAGCCCTGGAGGTCAAGGCTGCAGTGAGCCCTGATCATGCCACCACACTCCAGCACTCCAGAGTAAGACCCTGTCTCAGTAAATACATAAAGAAATAGGCCAGGCACAGTGGCTCACACCTGTAATCCCAGCACTTTGGGAGGCTGAGGTGGGTGTATCACCTGAGGTCAGGAGTTTGAGACTAGCCTGACCAACATGGAGAAATCATGTCTCTACTAAAAATACAAAAAAATTAGCCAGGCATTGTGGCAGTTGCCTGTAATCCCAGCTACTCAGGAGGTTGAGGCAAGAGAATCGCTTGAACCTGGGAGTCGAAGGTTGCAGTGAGCCAAGATCATGCCACTGCACTCGAGCCTAGGTGACAGAGTGGGACTCTGTCTCAAAAAAATTAATAAATAAAAATAAAATGGAAAGCATAGAAGGCAAGAGAAAAAGAAAAAATCAAGACAAGATTATAGCTTAAAGTTCCCCAATGTCAGATCAAGAGTTTTAAAATGAGTAATCAAGGGAGAAGCATAATGAACCAAGGGTTTACAAAGCTTGAAAAGATTCAAACCAAAACCAAACATCTGTGATAAAAAGCTATGCATAACCAGTCTGGCCAACATGATGAAACCCCGTCTCTACTAAAAATACAAAAATTAGCTGGGTGCAATGGCACGTGCCTATAATCCCAGCTACTGGGGAGGCTGAGGCAGGAATATCGTTCGAACCTGAGAGGCAGAGGTTGCAGTGAGCAGGTTTCGCACCACTGCACTCCAGCCGTGGAGACAAAGCGAGACTCTGTCTCAAAAAAAAAAAAAAAAAATTATGCATAAAAAGGTCATCAGTGAGAAGGTTAAATAGGATAGAGAATTAAAAAAAAAAATACCACTAGCAGCAGCTGAGGAGAGACTCTTGAAAGACGGTTTTTAGGACACACCAAGCTTCTACCATGCCCTAAAATAGGCAGGAAAGCCGTAGGCACTGTCAGCATCTGCAGCCTCCAACACTGTGAACCTTCACGCCGGGTCCTCTGGGCTGGGCCCTTCACTTCATCTCAGGAGCCATGAGGCTGAGTTGTCTGGAAGGCTGCCTCTTCAAATGGAGCCCTGGAACCAGCTGCATCCCAACATAGGAGCTTGTGAGGAGTGTAGATTCTCAGGCCGCACCCCAGGCCACTGACTCAGCATCTGCATTTTATTTATTTATTTATTTTTTAATTTTTTTTATTTTTATTTTTTTTGAGACGGAGTTTCGCTCTTGTTACCCAGGCTGGAGTGCAATAGCGCGATCTCGGCTCACCGCAACCTCCGCCTCCTGGGTTCAGGCAATTCTCCTGCCTCAGCCTCCTGAGTAGCTGGGATTACAGGCACACGCCACCATGCCCAGCTGATTTTTTGTAGTTTTAGTAGAGACGGGGTTTCACCATGTTGACCAGGATGGTCTCGATCTCTTGACCTCGTGATCCACCCGCCTCGGCCTCCCAAAGTGCTGGGATTACAGGCTTGAGCCACCGCGCCCGGGAAGCATCTGCATTTTAACAAAATCTCCAAGGGATTCATTGTACATGAAAGTTTGAGAAGTGCTGCTTTAGAAAAAATATCACATCTCCTTCCTTTATTTTTAATTTATGAAATATTATAAATAGCCAAAGAAATAATGAGAATATCATGGCAAATGCTTAGGAACCTACAACTCAGATACAGCAAAAGTTAGCATTTTGACAAATTGGCTTCAGATCTATTTTCTTCTCTCTTTTGAGGCAGAGTCTTGCCCTGTCACCCAGGCTGGAGTGCAGTGGTGCAGTCTCGTCTCACTGCAGCTTCTGCCTCCTGGGTTCAAGTGATTCTCATGCCTCAGCCTCCTGAGTAGCTGAGACCACAGGTGCATGTCACCATACCTGGCAATTTTTTGTAATTTTGTATTTTTTTGAGATGGAGTTTTTCTCTTGTCGCCCAGGCTGTAGTGGAATGGCGCGATCTCGGCTCACTACAAACCTCCACCTCCCAGCTTCAAGCAATTCTCCTGCCTCAGCCTCCTGAGTAGCTGGGATTACAGGCACCCGCCATCATGCCCAGCTAATTTTTTGTATTTTTAGTAGTGATGGGTCTCACCATGTTGGCCAGGTTGGTCTTGAACTCCTGACCTCAGGTGATCCACCCTCCTTGGCCTCCCAAAGTGCTGGGATTACAGGCGTGAGCCACTGTGCCCAGTTGCTCAGCCTGTAATTTCAACACTGTGGGAGGCCAAGGCAGGAGGATCACTTAAGGCCAGGAGTTCAAGACCAGCCTAGGCAACATGGAGAGAACTCCCTCCCACCCCCATCTCTAAAAAAAGTAAAAAATTATCGGCTGGGCACGGTGGCCAAGCCTGTAATCCCAGCACTTTGGGAGGCCGAGGGGGGTGGATCACGAGGTCAAGAGATTGAGACCATCCTGGTCAACATGATGAAACCCCGTCTCTACTAAAAAAATACAAAAAATTAGCTGGGCATGGTGGCACGTGCCTGTAATCCCAGCTACTAAGGAGGCTGAGGCAGGAGAATTGCCTGAACCCAGGAGGCAGAGGTTGCGGTGAGCCGAG